ATAGGTGTTCCCTGGGGACAACTAGCGATGGCACAAGGTGCACTGATACTAGATGTCCCTAGGGAACCAAACATCTACATTTGTGTGGACATGGCATGAGGATGCAGAAACAAACCATCCTATTGCACAGGAAGACTAGCAAGTATGGCAGAACAACAACTTGGCTTAGCAGGAACTCTTCAGTGAGCTAAAACACAATAAGGAAGCTTACAAGAAGTGGAAACTTGGATAAACAACTAGGGAGCAGTATAAGAGTACTGCCAAGAAGGCTAACAGTATACCAGGCTACAGTTGGGCCAACTATATGGTTGGGAGAGTTGAGGGACAAGCTTTTGAGCATGTGTGCCCTTTTGCAGGTTCAGTATGGATTCACCTGGTTCTTTATTCAAATGCAAAGCCCCTTAGACAATAAGATATTTCCTATCAACCAGAGCTGACTTGCCAGATACATCCTGCCAACAAAATCATGAGAGGATCTAGGATTCTCTGATGAGGCTGATCACCTGATAGAGAAGGAGTCACCTGATAGAGACTGGAAAATAATATAAGGTGAGAAGCTGAGCCATTCAATCTCTTCAACCATTTTCACCATCTTAAGAGGTGGGAAACACTAACTTTCTGAACTCAAATGGACCTCTCAACCTAGATTCTTCTGGGGAAAGGATGAGCTAATGAAAGGAACTGTGCTCAGGATATTTGTTATTTTTAAATGATCTGTAGTCTCTTGTGCCTTTTCTGTTAAGTAAAGAAAACACATGCAAAAATCTATCTGCACTGTAGATGTCCACTTGCCTATACCCTCCAGAAGAGTTAAATTGTAAACCAGAAGGCTTGCACCTTTGGTGAGATTCTGAAAAAAGGCTGGAGTGATACAGCCTTGATGGTCCTGGAAATGTATAAAAATCAGGATTTTTCAGTGGTTTTTTTTATTAAACTGCCTATATAGTTGGGAAGGATGTTAGGCAAGTTTTGGGCACAAAAGCTATGGTGCTTGTTCAACAACTCTCCCATTGATACACATGGTTCAGTAAAAGATATAAAAAAATTCCTTACCATTCTGAAAAAGGGCCTAAGCTGAGATGTCAGTAGTCAACCTTGCGCACATCCAGTTAAACTACAGGTTCCACCTATCAGGAAATGTTCCTAAAGATTTTCTGTACCTCATGAGTGTGCTTCAGATCTCGATACAGTGATATTGCCCTCATTTAGACTCTGCAGGCCTAAAACACCTACAGATCCAGCCCCTGGATTTCCTAACAGAAATCTGGTAAGTGGTCAAGAAGGCACAGTTGGTTAAATCCTGTCACAATCCCATCACCAATTTGTACTCATAAATGATATGACACAAATTACCAATATTTCATCCACAATGTAGTGCATGTGCAAAAAGGCAGGAGAAACACTGCACATGTAAAATAACAAGTCCAGCTGAAACAACAGCCCTTAAAATGTACTGCATTTTCCTGCAGCTAACATGCACCTTTCATGGAAAAAAAACAGCTCCTGGAAATTGGAGCATGCATTACACACAAGAAATATGGTAAGAATAGTTTCTGCCACTTACTAAGCAAAATCAAAAGTGAAGCCTTCAAGTGATCCACACAGAACAGCATAATGAACAGGCTCAGGTCCCTAGCTGCTGCAACGCAGTTACTCGCTACAAGGAAAGATATTTTTCTTTTTTATTCTGCCTTCCAAAAACAAGGTATCTTATTTCGGGGCATGTTGCATGCAAGAAAATACAGTATTTCATAAAGATTAAGGCTTTATAAAACTCATCTGAAGATCTTCCTCAGGTAGTCCACAAACAGAAAAAATAAAAAGAGTCTTTTCTGTCAGACCTGCAGAAGTATTGTACATACCTTGAATTAAATATATATAGCAGAGATAGGCAACCCCCTGCACAAGTGCCAATTAGTGGCACGTGGTGATGTTTTCCTTGGGATGCCAGGAGGTGTGCTAAGGAAAATGTTTAAATATATATATAATTAACTTGGTGCTCCAGGCTCTCCAGAGCAGCCACAGGTCCAAGCGCTACAGCAGGCAACATATTTATCTTAAACCGGTTTTGGCCATTTTGAAAGCAGTTTATGTGCATTAAACTTCTGTTGTGTTACAGATTTGAACTGGTTTCCAATCGCTAATATCAGTTTCCTGTGTAATTTCCGTCCCTAGCCCTAGCCAACTGATTTCTGCTTACCAACCTAGCCTTTAAATTTTAATCCTATTTCAAACAGGATCAAGAAGAATGAGTTTGAGGGACATGATTTTGTACCCCATTTTGAAGAAAGACTGCTCTTCTCCCTACTAGCCTAATAACTTCTTTCTAAGTAAAAACTTATTTTACAACATATTATGCTGTTCACATCTACCGAGCCTCATACTGACTAGCAATACCAAAAGGGATTTTCTGTGGAGCCTTCTCAACCAACTACCTTCAGGAAAAAAAATCTAAGCTTTTAAGTGCATGAGTTTAGCAATGAAAACATAATACACATTTCTACATTGGAATCATCTCTAATTGTAGTATAAACATGCAGTACATTACAATGGTAGTGAAGTGTCACAGGTTCTATCTACTGGAGACCTTGAGGATTCAGGCAGTCACATTATCACTACTATTGTTGCCCAAGATACCTACATTAAAGCTGGCTTGAGAATGCGTAACTTTAGTATGCAGAGAGAGTATATTGCTATCAGTTACAGACTGCAGTAAAGACGTAACCATACACTTTAGAAATACAAATTCAAAAAACAGCTGCATCATTTATAGTCCCTGAAAAATGCCTGTTCCATACATTTCAAACAGATTTCAATAGATAGCACTGTATTTCTTGTGTAGATATCCCCCAACTGTAAGGAGGGAAAGGCAGAAAACAAAGACTGTTAATTCCTGCTTGTTTCTATGATCTTGTTACCCTTTCAAAACATAAGAACATAGGATTGGAAGGGACCTCCTAAGACCAGTGAGTGCAGTCCCCTGTGTTTGCAGGTGATTGTTAACCCAAGGAATCAACAAAATCACCTCTTCAAATTCTCACCCACAATAGCAAGAAACAAACCACTCTATTTGACAAACCACTCCGTGCATGTCCTTTCACAGCATTTGATAAAGCAAGCTCCGGCTCATGAAAACACACATTTCTGATTTATTATAAGTTGCATCTCTACCCCCTGCCTTCATGTTGCAGTAAAACAATCATCCCATTAATTTCATCTCCCATTATTCTTGGCAAAATATTTCTGTACTAGCAGACAACTGAATACAGGCTGAACCGAAAAAAAAGAAAAGAGCAGCAAATCACTGAAATCACAGAATGAGGCCTGGAAGTGACCTCACCAATTCATCAAGTCCACCCCACATTCTGAGGCAGGGCTAGGAAAAGGTATACAATACATCCCTGATGGATATTTGTTTAATCTGTTCTTAAGAGCCTCCAATAGAGGGAAATCCACAGCCTTCCAGAACATTTAGCCTGTTCCAGGACATATTTAGTTAGAAAGCTTTTCCTAGTAATGAGCAACCCTTCTTTGCTGGAAAAGTTATTTCTGATGACAGAATTTCTTGTCCTATCCTCAGTGGCACAAGGAACAAATGATCACCATCTTCTTTATACCAACCTTACACAGGCTTGAAGACTATTATTGTGACTCTCAAGATCCATTTTTCTAGACTAAACAAACCAATGCTTTGGTTTTGATAATCAAACTAAATAAATTCAGTGCTTGTGAAAGTTGTTTGATCAATACATAATGTTTTCTGTAATACCAAGTGGCTCTTTTTTCCATATTGTTCAAGGGAGATCTGCAACAAGGATTAGCACAGTTTAATAATTCATGGATTTGATTTAACCTAAAAGCCTTTTAAATATGAATGCCATTTTATTTTAAATATGGATTGCCATATATTTATAACCATACAAATTTAACTACCAGTTACATTACAGTTTTTCCATATCAATAGTTATAATTTTTGCCCTTTAACAGGATACTGTACTGTAAAAAAAATTTCAGACTGTCTGAACACTAGGCCATTTTTAGACATGTCTTTGCTCTGTCTGCACTGGCTCTTGTATAAAGTATCTATATAGTATTACATTTTAAAACTGCATATTGAATATTATTCACATTTTATGATCATCTGGAAAAATGTTCCATCACCAGAATTAAACACTACTCATAATATTTTAAAAGGGCTTTCAAAGAAAATACTGAATAGTGAATTTTAAGCCAAAGATATTCTGAAAAAGCATCTTTCAAAGAAGACATGGATATCAGTGCAGGAAGCCCTATGGCAAACACATTGGTTTGCCAAACCAAAGAACATCTTATACATAAAGTTTTGAAGAATAATTTATTAATTAACAAGAAAATAAAGCACTTTGTAAGCAGACACTACAGGAAACACAGCTAAAGACAATTTACTTCCTGCAAAAAAATAAAAAAATGGAACTGTAATTTAAATCACAAAAATGTTTGCCAAATTGATCATTTTTGGTAATAAAAATAAACTGACAGCTGTAGAAGCGAAAAATTCAAGATCAAAAGACAAGTTTAAGGAACACATAAGTTAATGATAATAATGGAAGACTTCAAATAAAGGTGACAACATATTAGGTATAGTATTAGAGAAGGACTCATTAAAAAAATTAAATAGTTTTGAAAAGTGGGGCAAAACTACCCTTTTAAAAAGGCTGTACTATAAAAGACAACAAAGCTAATTTTATACTCTAATAATGTTTATGCCTGAAATTAATATTATAAAGAAAAAACCAAAATATTAAAGACCAATTAAAACCAAGCATTTTCCAAGTTACAAAATATGTCTTTCATAATATCCTGCAGATTTTCTAGGTTTAAAAGGTTACAATAAATCCAAATTAATACATATGTTCAATAATGACATATCATACAAAATAACTATAACCTAGTTATAGTTGCATCTTGAATTTGTTAGGCCAACTGTTAAAAATGTTAACAAATCATGCACTTGTACTCACCCTAATATTCGGCTCATTCCATGCCTAGCAGCATAATGTAATGGAGTATTGTGCTGATAAGTTTCCCCATAAGAAGTATTTGGATCAAGAGTTTCTTTTAATTGAGGATTGCTCTCATATATTTGGCAGGCCAGATTTTCATCTCCATTTATAAGTGCTTTGCGGAATTTGGTGGTTGTATTTCCCATGTTGGTACAGTAATTGATGGCACTTTTTCCTTTCCCCTTCAGCCACTTGTAAGGGTCTGCAACATGTTGAACATCCTGAAAAACAAACAGTATTTCAGATGGCCTTGTAAACCTGTTTTATCTTAAATGAATTTGTCCAGAAGTGACACTACTGTAACTACAGTACAAATGCTTATGGCTAGGAAACTCTATTGTGCATAATCAAAATCCTCATATGAATAGTTAAAAATTGGCTGGATTTTCTAATTCTTCACAGGTTAACTAGTTCCCTGTTAAATTATAATGGACTTCCACATTAACATGGTTAAAATGTTTTTACAATGCACACACCCTTTGGACTTGGGTGATTCTATTAAAATAAACCTAAGAATATAAACATTTCTATTGTGCCCATACCCCTTTATAACAAAGACTTAATCTGAATTCTGGTAACTATTAAGTGACTGCAAAGTTAAGTTGTAGCAAAATCAAAGTAGAATCATTGAAAAAAGAGACGACTAAAATATTTCAAAGGCAGCAAAGGTTTTTACTGTGATTATTTTTTTCTCAATATGTAAAATCTGCATTGAATATAACCAGCACAACTCTTCCTAGCAGGGCCACTGGCAGGATCATCACAGTCCTTCCCCAGCAGCCATGCAGTGAATGTAAGTTTTAATTCCTCAATCAATCATGTATATTTTGTAGCCACTAAGGATCAACCAAGAATGAGTCCTTCTCCCGCAGTACAAGGCACTGCACAGAATTATGTATGGCGCTAGGCTAGAGCATAAAATCTACATAGATGAAGCTAGATAGGTCAGGGCTATGGATAGCTGTTCATTTGTAGCGCTACACTTGTGCTATTACAGCCCCCTGGCTGGAGAGCTGCAAAGTTACTTCAAAGGTGAGCTCTCCAGCCATGGGGCAATATGTTTCTCCTAGTCCCTACCCTACCAGGGAAGGGGACAGGCTGTCAACAATCCACCCCCTACAGGAGTAACAGGGACAAGTGTAATCTTCTCTCCCCCACCACTGTTGTTGCTGTTCTTGCAGTCATGATGGGAACTTGGGCTCTCAGTGCAGTGGCAGGAAATTGGGCCCTGGCTGTTCTTACAGCAAACCTGGTGCTCTGGCAACAAAGACAGTAGTAGTGGAGTCCCATGAGGCCTCCTTGACAGCTTGTCACTGGATGAGGTATTGGGAAGTCGGACATTTTCCATCCCTCTTGGAGGTAGAAGAACAGAGGACTATGAGAAACTAGGGGTCCTGGAGACCCTTGTAGCACTATCTGTACCTGTAGGTAGCTGTTACATGTGGTACTACAAAACCTCACACTACAGAGAAGTTCCTGCACTATTCTGTGGTGCAGGGGTTATCAACCAGGGGGTATGCGAACCCCCAGGGGTACTTGGGAAGGCGTCGGCGGGCAGGGATGCAGTGCCACCACCCACCGCCCTGCACTGCTGCCTCCCAGGAGCAGGGCTGGGGCAGGGCAGGGTGAGGGCAGTGGCACCCCTCTGTGGGCTGTGCAGGTACTGTGGGGGGGAAAGTGGGGAAAGATCACACATGGCAGCTGCCACTGCCACCTACTACCCTGCGCTACTGCCCCCCC